AAACAACTGCACCTCCCAGTCGCGAACCATTTCAACTCCCCCTCCCATTCCTCAGACGACATGTCCATCCTGGGCCTCCTGCAGTGCCACAACGATGCCACCCGAAGGTTGCAGGAACAGCAACTCATATTCCGCTTGGGAACCCTGCAGCCCAATGGTATCAATGTGGATTTCACAAGTTTCAAAATCTCCCCTCCCCCTACCGCATCCCAAAACCAGTCCAGCTCGTCCCTGCCTCCCTAACCTGTTCTTCCTCCCACCTATCCCCTCCTCCCACCTCAAGCCGCACCTCCATCTCCTACCGACCAACCTCATCCCGCCCCCTTGACCTGTCCGTCCTCCCTGGACTGACCTATCCCCTCCCTAACTCCCCACCTACACTCACCTTTACTGGCTCCATCCCCACCTCTTCGACCTGTTTGTTTCCTCTCCACCTATCCTCTCCTCTATCCATCTTCTATCCACCTCCCGCTCTCTCCCTATTTATTTCAGAACTCCCTTCCCCTCCCCCTTTTCTGATGAAGGGTCTAGGCCCGAAACGTCAGCCTCTCTGCTCCTATGATGCTGCTTGGCCTGCTGTGTTCATCCACCCCTGCACCTTGTTGTCTCGGATTCTCCAGCATCTGCAGTTCCTACTATCTCTGATACAGTTTGTTTATTCTTCTTTTTTCCAAAACAAGCTATTGCTCACAATCCAAAGGCTATTTCTCAGCTCACAGTTCACAGCTCCAAACCAAAATGAGGAAATAAAATAATGAAAAATCAGTGAGGGTTCGAACAACACACATTCTCATTCACACACACTCTCATGCACGCATACCGGCTACGCTAGCCTACCCACTCATGCTTACACTCATGCTGATGTATGCGCTCACACACATGCTTGCAGACCTACTCATGCTCGCACTCACACATGGACTCACACACATACACCAACTTGTGCTTGCAATCTCTCAAGGAGTTTTAGCTGGCTTCAGGTATTCTGCAGTGTGTCCATTGCCAGGCATTTACCTTGGATTGGGAGAATGAGAGAAAACAACACACAGAGCAGTACAAGAAGCTGCCAGTAGTGGGAGCAGGCAAGTGAGAAAGGGTCTCAGCAGGAGGCCATATCCAGCCTGAGAAGTCAGGAAGCAGTTCTCTGACCTGTGCCTCAGTGTGAAACACTGTGTGAGGTTTCTGTGTTTCTGCTGCAGCCACAGAACAGGGCAAGGAGCAGTGCTGTGATGGTTACAGTGGCTATAATTTTGTCTGGTTCCTTCCAGGCTGAACCTAGAGTTAATTTCCAACATCTGCCAGTTTGCTGTCAAATGTTGTGTTAAGGGAGGCCACTGACCCTCTGCATTTCCAGTCGGATAACCACTTTTGATTCTGTCTTGCCAGAGAGAAGCAGACTGCGCGAGCACATGCCTTCACTGAGCTTGCAGCATTCCCTTTCTGTCAGGTACCACCAATAGGTCAATCCTCACTTTTGTGAGTGTTGTGAATCAATTGTGCCTCATTTCCTAATGTACGGATATGTCTCACCTTCAACATTCAGCACTAGAATGACAACACAGTGAGTTAGACAGGTCAGTTGTGACTTATTTGGTAGCTTTCTCACCTGAGCTGAGTCATAAGGTTTTGGATTCAAGTGCCACTGCAGGGTTTGAGTCCGAAGGTCAAGGCTGACAATCCAGTGCTGTACCAAGTGAGTTTTGTACCTTCTGAGCTACCTGTTTGGATCCTTGTAATATTTCCCGCAGCAGGAATGCAAAGAACAGCAGCAGAGTTACCCTGGTGTTTACTCTTAACCAAAATGGTCGTCAGGTTAGACAGCCCTTGGTGGGGCACTTCACCCTCATTCAACATCCCGAAACCAGAATGTCTGGACACATGCAAATGACTGTGTTTGCTGTTCACAGATTGGATTCTGTGTTTCCACACTCGAGCATGGCTATTAGTTGTCCAGAGAGCGAAAGAAATACAAGTCTTCCTTTCTGTCCCTGCCCAGTATCCTGGCTGTGGTTAAGATACCTTCATTCTGTGCTGCTCACTGTCCTAGCTGCAGCAAATCAAGTGCAGCTACTGAAGGACAAGGAGCCAAATGGCTGACCCCACTCCACAAACCTCACACGTGTAAAGTGAGAGCATGCATACAATAAAAACCGTGCATCCACATTAAGATGTGATAGAGCAAAGCATTCCGTCTGCTCCCTCTGCTGCTCCTGAGGAACCCTTCACTGCTCAGCGCAGTGTCCGTAAGGATTTGTCATGGTCCACTGTGTGCTGCTTCATTCCACTGTCATCCATGCACATCTGTCAGGCCACAGTCAGAAAACAAGTAGCTCAGGGAGAAGAGAAGGAGGCAGCCTGTGTCCAGCCACTTTATTCTGAAAGAAAATCATCGTCCAGGTGCAATACTAGGTAAGAGCAGCCTGAAATCCCCATTCACAGACCATACTGCCTCTGTGTCACTGACTAGCAGTGTCCTCATAGCCACAATCTTAAAAATAGCAGCCGCCACACATTAGAACATTCCACAAATAATTATTTTTATACAAATTAAACCTGGAATCCAGGTTGTATACAGATGCGGTGTATTACCTCAGTGTTTGTTTTGTGTGTGTTACGTCCTACAATATCCTTCAGCGTTGATGGCAGCTGACTGTTTTTGTGCAACGTCAGTCCAAGCTCTCGCCACAATAATTTGGATTTCTGCTGAAAGTTGCAGTTGAATCTGATAAAACAGCCATTATGAGACACTGCCTCATGACAACGCAACTATCACCTCAATTGATTCATTGATTGATTGATTGATTTATTGTCATGTGTACCAAAGTACAGTGAAAAGCTTTGTTTACGAGCTGTACGGGCAGATCACAGTAAGCAAGGATGTGCAGATCAAAACAACTTAGAGGCATACAGGTTACATTGCACAGGACATGCACTAGGCAAGATCAATGTTAGCAAGATCATCATTATTTGAGGCTAGAGAGTCCATTCATCAGTCTAATAATGGCCAGGAAGAAGCTGTTCCTGAACCTACTCATACATGTGTTCAGGCTTCTGTATCTTCTGCCTGATGGAAGAGGTTGTAGGTGATCATTACCAGGGTGCGATGGAACTTTGATGATGTTGGTAGCCTTTCCGCAGCAGCGAGCCGTGTAAGTAGAGTCCATGGATAGAAGGTTGGCTTTCGTGATGGTCTGGGCTGTGCACGCAACATTCTGTAGTTTCTTACGGTCCTGGGCAGAGCAGTTGCCCTATCAGGCCATTATGCACCCGGACAGTATACTTTCAATGGTGCAGCTAAAGAAGTTGGTGAAGCCAAATTTCCTGAGCTGCCTGAGGAAAAGGAAGTGTTGTTGTATTCTGAGATATTGGGAACTGCCGATCTGGAGAATCTGAGATAACAAGGTGTAGAGCTGGATGAACACAGCAGGCCAAGCAGCATCAGAGGAGCAGGAGAGATGATATTTCGGGTCTGGACCCGAAACGTCAGCTTTCCTGCTCCTCTGATGCTGTTTGGCCTGCGGTGTTCATCCAGCTCTACACCTTGTTATCTCTGTTGTTGTATTCTCCTTGACTACCACATCTATACCTGGGAAGTCCAGGACAGGTTGTGGGTTATCATCACTCCGAGCAACTTGGCGCTGTCCACTCTCTCAACCTCAGTTCCGTTGATGTAGATGGGGGCATGTCCTACTCCTTTCTTTCTGAAGTCAATGATCAGTTCTTTAGTTTTGCTGATGTTGAGAGAGAGGTTGTATTCATTACACCACATCACCAGGCCCTCTATCTACCTTCTGTATTTTGACTCTTTGTTTGATATCCGTCCTACGATGGTGGTGCCCTCATCGTATGAATGAATAAAAAAATGATGGGTTTTTACCACAATTTTGTAGTTTTGTGGTCACCATCACTGAGACTGGTTTTCAATTCCAGATTTGTTAATTGAATTTAAATTCCACCAGTTGCCATAGTGTGGTTTGTCCCATGTCCCAAAGCATTAGTCTAACCTCTTGATTGTGAATCCAGTGGCATCAGCACAGTCTACCCCTGGATATACCTATTATACCTACCTATACATCACCCCATTGAAGTTCTCTGTAGAGTCCTCAGGTCATGGGACAGGTCATGCAGTTTTCTCCCTTGTGAGCTTGCCCTGACTGCAGGCTACTCATGCAGATTGCACCTCTCTGCTATCATTTAAATTACTGAATGCCCTCTTGCCTTTTAAATATGTATAAAAAGCCTTGAGATTCTCCTTAATCCTGTTTGCTAATGACTTTTCATGATCCCTTTCAGTTTTTCTAATTCCTTGTTTAAGTTCTTACGTACTTTCTTTATATACTTCAAGGGCTTCATCAGTTCCGATCCTCCTTCCCTTTTTCTTTCTGACCAAGGTCACAACATCCCTGGTCATCCAAGGTTCACGTAACTTGCCATATCCATCTTTCATTCTCGCACAAACATGCAGCTCCTGAACTCTTATCAACTGCTGTTTGAAATACTCCCATGTGCTTGATGTAGATTTACCCTCCAACAGCTGCCTCCAATCAGCATTCTCCAGTTCCTACCTAATATTATTGTAGTTCACTTTCACCAATTTAACACCTTCACCTGAGGACTGCTGTTATCCCTATCTATGAGTGTCTTAAAACTCACTGTATTATGGTCACTATTCCCGAAATGCACCTCCACTGAAATTTCACTCACCTGGTCAGGCTCATTTCCCAAAACCAGGTTCAGTATGACCCCTTCCCTGGTTGGAATGTTTACGTACTGTGTCAATAAACCCTCCTGAATGGTCCTTACAAATTTTGTCCCATCCAAGCCCCTAGCACAAAATGAGTCCCAGTCAATACAGGGGAAGTTAAAATCACCCACCAAAACAACCCTGCTGTTTTTACATCTTTCCAAAATCTGTCTACATATTTTCTCCTCTGTCTCCCACTGGCTATTGAGGGGCCTGTAGTATACCCCCAGCAACGTGATCCCACCTTTCCTATTCCTGAGTTCTACCCATATTGCTTTGCTACACAAGTCCTGTGATGTATTCTCCCTCAGTACTGCGGCGAGATACTCCTTTACCTGTAATGCAACTTCCCCCACCCCCTTTACCTCCCTTTCTATCACACCCAAAACATCTAAATCCTGGGACATTCAGCTGCCAGTGCTGTCCTTCCTTCAGCCAAGTCTCCATAATCGCATTAATGTCATAATCAAAGTTCTAAGTTCATCTACCTTGCCTATTAAACTTATCATATTGAACCACATGCATGTCAGACCATCCCCCGTGTTCTTTTCAGCAGTGTTTCCCTGCCTGTTCTTAGTCATGTTTGCCTTGGTTTCTACCTCTCCCTCAATTTCTGCACCTACTGTCCTACTCCTCTGGTTCCCACCCCCTGCCACACTAGCTTGAATACTATTTTGCAGTCCAGTCACAACTGTTTTACACAGCTGCCAATTAGTACACAGATGGTCCCAACAACAAAGATGTGATAAGTTGCTTCAGAGACTTAGATGAAGGATAAATATTGGCCATAATGCTGGAATGATCCCTCCAGTTGGGTGTCCTATAGGGCTAGGGGGTCTTTTACACTGACCAGGGAGGTCAGCTGGCATCTGAAAGACAGTGATGACTCTCTGAAATGCGGAAGTGGTTCTGAGTGTTTTAAAACATCTCCTAACGCCAATCTGTTTTGCAGAGAGGATTGTGATTGCGGTATTGTCCGTCTGCCTGCTGTTGCTGATCATGGCGCTGATCGTCCAACACTGCTTCTGGAAGCGGAAGACACACCATCACAGAGTTCCTTCCAATAGTGAGGAGCTGGCCTGACAGTCAGTGACATTGCTGCCACACCCCAGCTCGTAGGAAGATTGACTGATTCAACCACTTGCCTGCCAACCTGTCACATTTCTAATTACTGACTGGTAGGGGGCCAGCTTGCTTGGAATTGAGTGTTTTGCATTTAGCTAAGAAATTTGTTTTGTTTAATGATTGTCATTGAGGTAGTGGGATGCATTCCTTATTTTTGTAACTGGTGATTGGACCAACCCTCCAATGCCACCCCCCTCCGGCTCCACACTCTGTTGCTGACCGCCCCCTGCCCCCACCCCACCTCCGCCAGTTCTGTGGGGAGCCTTATGTAGCACTAGTTGCCACAGGTTGTTGCTTTCATACCTTCTGTCCTCTCTGCCATAAAGACTGCTTATTTTCACCTCTCTTAACATTGCCTTTCTCTCCCTTTGTCTCAGCTTTTCTGGTACAGGATCCCCTCACCCAGTGCCTTCAACATTACCAGCTCCATCTATTCTGATGCACTTCTGTGTGATTTTGGGGTCTACTAATGCCTTGAATTTGCAGTTTCTCATCCCTTTGTGTGAACTACTTAATGGCATCTTTCCCCTTCCTATGTCTGTAACTTCCTCAAGCCCAACAACCCCAAAAATCCCAGCTGTCCATTTCTTACTTTGTCCCTTTGAGTATCCTTCCTGCATTTTCCTCCTAGTTGGGGTTGTATATTCAAACACCAAGACCCTGTGTCCTGGAGTTTCCTTCTAAACATTGTCTCCTGAAAAATGATTGCTTTCACTTACATAGAACATAGAACAGTACAGCACAGTACAGGCCCTTCGGCCCATGATGTTGTGCCGACCTATATCCTACTAAGTTCAAACTACCCTGCATACACTACGTCATCCATGTGCCTATCCAAGAGTCACTTAAAACTGTCTAAAATATCTGACTCCACTACCACTGCCAGCAGCGCATTCCACATGCCCACCACTCTCTGTGTAAAGAACATACCTCTGACATCTCCCCTATACCTTCCTCCAATCACCTTAAAATTATGCCCCCTCATAATAGTCATTTCCACCCTGCGAAAAAGTCTTTGACTATCCACTCTATCTATGCCTCTCATCATCTTGTACACCTCTATCAAGTCACCTCTCATCCTTCTTTGCTCCAATGAGAACAGCCCTAGCTCCCTCAACCTTTCCTTGTAGGACCCACCCTCCATCCAGGCAGCTTCCTGCTAAATCTCCTCTGCACCCTCTCTAAAGCTTCCACATCTTTCCTATAATGAGGCAAGCAGAACTGAACACAATATTCCAAGTGTTGTCTAACCAGGGTTTTATAGAGCTGCAGTATAACCTCACAGCTCTTAAACTCAATTCCCCTGCCAATGAAAGCCAACACACCATATGCCTTCTTAACAACCCTATCAACTTGGGTGGCAACTTTGAGGGATCTATGGACTTAGACCCCAAGATCCCTCTGTTCCTCCACACTGCCAAGAATCCTGCCATTAAACCTGTATTCTGCATTCAAATTCACCCTTGCAAACTGCATCACTTCGCACTTTTCCGGGTTGAATTCCATGTGCCACTTCTTTGCCCAGCTCTGCATCCTATCAATATCCCATTGCAACCTACAACAGCCCTCCACACTATCCACAACTCCACCAACCTTCGTGTCATTGGCAAACTTACTAACGCACCCTTCCACTTCCTCATCCAAGTCATTTGTAATGATCACAAAGAGCAGAGGTCCCAGGACAGATCCCTGTGAAACACCACTGGTCACCGAGCTCCAGGCTGAATATTTTCCATCTACTACCACCCTCTGCCTTCTATTCGACAGCCAGTTTTGTATCCAGACAGCCTAATTTCCCTGAATGCCCCATGCCTCCTACTTTCTGAACGAGCCTACCTTGGGAACCTTATCAAATGTCTTGCTAAAATCCATATACACCACATCCATTGCTCTCCCCTCATCAGTGTGTTTTGTCGCATCCTCAAAGAATTCAATAAGGCTTGTGAGGCATGCTGACTGACTAACTAACTAATGTTTGATCCCTCCTTGTAAAACTTCCTCTGGCTGAGATCTCCCTCAGGACACAGTGGAGTTGGACTTTAACTTTGGATGTGGCACGTGCTGTGTAAGTGCTGGTTGTCGGATCTGCAGTGTTCAGTGAACTTCGCTGTGGATCTTGGTCATGCTTCACAGAACTAATTCTCCAACAAGCCTCTGAAGGGGTTAGAGTGAAAGCGATATTTGTACATGACTTTTCTAACAGATTGTAGGTGCATGCAGCTTGATTTGACACATTTAACAAAGGCCACGATTTTAACTTTGCTGAAGGAGGAATCTAACAATATACTGGGGAAACGTGTTTGAGCAGGAACCGAAAAGTTGAGCTGAAAGACTAGCTCCTTGCTTATCCCAAGGGTGTGAACATTTATTCAAACTGTTAGCAGTTGCTTTCTGTAGTTTTCCCTTTGTGCCATTTTGTTTCAGCATCTTTAAGGAGACTTGGTTACTTGGGAACAGCCTGCCCTAACACCAATAACTAGCCCTTTTTGCACTCCCCTGTCCCCTATTCCTGACTGAAGAGGAAAACCAGGGTTCAGCTTGATGCCTCTCTGACCTGGCCCAGTGCAGTAATGGGCATATACCGTGGGCATATACTGTGCATGAGCTTGTGGGGAACTAGCCCCTTCTGGGATCCTACTGTACGTTGTGTGAAAGGAGTATGTTGCAATTATACTGTTGCTGTTAGATTGCAGCACTTTGGCAATGCCTCTCACATACTCTGGAACTGAAGTCAGGACTCCAGACTCTCTCTCTTATTCAGCACTCAGCTGTTCCTGGTTGGCCAGTGGATTAATCTACTCTGAACAGTATGTCTGAGTGCTTGGAGCTCTGTCACTGTTCCATATCATAACTAATTCTCCAGTATCTACAGTTCTTTGTTTATTTTAGTTTGTCTACTATGACCTTTCTGCAATTGTATTCTTGTCACTGTGGCTCAGTCAGATGTTGTAAAAGATTACATTGTTGTTCTTAATCATGTTACATGCCATAACACTAGCTGATTTATTAATCAAAGAGTAGTTGATCCAATAAATAGATTATTTTGATAATTAAAATAATAAATGGGATCTCAATAAGACCAAAAGTAGGCCATTCAGACAAATGAGTCTACACTGCCATTCAATGAGATAGAACATAGAACAGTACAGCACAGTACAGGCCCTTCAGGCCACAATGTTGTGCCGAACTTTTCCCCTAATCCTAAGGTCTATCTAACCTCCACCCCTACCTTATACTATCATCCATAAATGGCTAAAGATCATGGCTAATCTGATAATTTTCATATCCACTTTCCTGCTTTCTCCCCATAACTTTGATTCCTTTACTGGTTAAAAGCCTGTCTATCTCCACTTTGAATATACTTAAGAACGCAGCCTTGACAGCTGTCTGCGGTGAAGTATTCCTCAGATTCAAAACCCTTTGAGAGTAGAATTCCCTCCTGTTCTTTAATGTGTGACCCCTTTATTCTGAGATTATGCCCTCTGGTCCTAGACTCTGCCACAAGAGGGGAAAAACATTCCACATCTACCCTGCCAAATCCCCTAAGAATCTTATATGTTTCAATGAGGTCACCTCTCATTCTTATAAACGCCAACAAATAAAGGCCCAACTTACTTAGTCTCCTCATAAGACCCTCCTATCCAGTATCAACCTAGTGAACTTTCTCTGAAATGCCTCCAATACCAGTATATCTTTCTTTAGATAAGGGGACCAAAACTGTTCACAGTATTCCAGCTGTGGTCTGACTCGTGCCTTGTAGTCTTAGCAAAACCTCCTTATTTTTGTACTTCATTCCCTTTGAAATAAAGGTCAATATTCCATTTGCACTTCTTAGATACATACAAAGAAATTATTACCTCTGTCAATGAGTTCAGAACAAGTGCCAGAATCTTAAAATTGAAGCTAAGCTTTCTACAGTGAATTATGTTTACTTAGAGAGGGGAGTGGATACCTTAACTCTCCCCCAAAAAGCTTTTGATGTATACATCAATTAGACCTTTCAAAACTGTAATCGTTAGTTCGCCATTGGCTGACGTTATCAAGGGGGTAAAAGTGAGTAAACCGAGTTCAGGTACAGATTAGCCATGAAGCTCCAAGTGGCCTGTTTCTGCTCCCACGCTTAAAGATTTTAATCGCACATACCACTCCCATTTGCCATTTACTGTTCCTCAATAAAGTCCTCGAGTGTGTTGTCAGCTCCCAATCTTTAACTCCACAGTTGAACCTGACCACTGGCTTTATGCTTTGTCACAGCAAGAAACAGCCCTAAGTCAGAAATTATATCCTCTGTGACTGACCAAGGTAAACTACCCTTCCTCATCCTTCTCAGCAGCATTCACATAATTGATCACATCATCTTTCATTTTCACTTGTACTCTATCACCCTATGGAGGGATTCACTCGCTTGATTCTATCCAAATCTATTCAGTCACACATCTAGCCATCCATTATTGAAAACTTTGCCAAAATCTTTGCTACCTTGACTATTCAAATACATCACAAACTTGAGCTCATCTAAATCTGCTGTTCCAACTCACACCCATCCTGTGCTCCCAATCCAACAATATCTCTATTAAAAAAAATTGCATCCTTGTGTTAAAATCCCATTTCATGCTAACCTCATCCAGTCCCACAAACTTTCTTCACTATTTTACCAACTCAGGGCTATTTTTTTAATCATCCAGCTCTCTTTGTCTTACCGTTGACAGCCCTGTTTCTAAACTTTTGAGATTTCCTCTCCAAACCTCTGGACCTTGCAAACTCTCTCACTACCTTTAAGATGGTTCTTAAGACCTACCTTTTGGATATTTGAACCTTCCCTCCAGGTTTTGTGTTCTCACCACTTTTCTGCTTGCTCCTTTCCATGGAGCAGGCTTTTTTTCAAGTTGACAAAAATATTGAAGTATTAATTGCAAAGTTAGTTTAAATGAACTATTTGTCGCTATCACATCTTTTTAATTGATGAATCATTAAGCTTAATTGCACTTCAAGAATGCTAATTGGCATACCTTTGACGATTGTCACATGTTTGGCTGGTGCCGTTTTCTGAGCCCATCACAGCTCCACAGATAATGTCTGATAGCCTACCCCAGCCAGAGATAAATATCCAGAAAGGCACAATGTGATAGCAATATATCATGCTTTTTTTATTTTTGTATTCAAGGAGCTTCATGTTATTAATGTTGTAATTCAATGAAATCTGGTGTATTGCACTATGCTGCTGGTCAACAGTTAAACTTTTAATAATACCTGATTTATACATCCTACATGCTGTTGGTGTTTATTCTTCTGAATGTCAGGGGAGTTTCTCTGCCTACCACAAAGTATTACACAGAATCAAGACTTTCAATCTGATCCCAGGTCAACGTTACCAGATACTTGGCTAGACTCTGCTGCGCTATCAAACATCCCCTTATTCTAGAATCACCAATAGGGCATTCCATGTTAAATTAGTAAAGGATAAGGAGCCAGATTCAATGATGGCAGATTCGTAACAGATGAAGCTCTGGGGAGGGCTTGTCTTGAGATAGTTAGCAATGGCCATCAGTGAAGAGGCCAGTTCTCTCTTGACAGGCTCTTGAGCAGTTAGAGCACAGGAATCCTGATTTTGAAGGGGCTCTTGCATAAGCAGTGTTAGGAATGACATATAGCCTTAATTTTACTTCGTATTTTGCACATTAAGATAGGAAAGGCATAGGATTGTTTATTTTGTGTTTAAGGAGTGGTTCTTAATGGGGTGCTGCCACCATCTGGAAATCTATTTGCTTACTGTTATGATCCCAGCTGAAGGTAATACTAGACAAGTCAGAGCCCAGAGTGAAACCTGGTTGATAGGTCGCAGGTTACATTACTGTGCTGATTTGTCACTGAACACATACATGAGGTTGCCAATGTTCTTTAACAAAAAAATTCATAAGCTTATTTCTCGAAATAAACAGCAAACGCCATCGCTGCCGATGCCACCGCCTCCATTTCCGAGACCAACACCACCCACACTGAAGTCGCACCTACCCCGCTCCGCCCATCACCGACGCGGACGCAACTCCGCCCACCGCCTGCGCCGACGCAACTCCGCCCACTGCCGACGCCGCTCCGCCCACTGCCTCCACAGCTAGTAGCCCCAGAGGGGACAATAGCACCCAGCTCTGCCGAGTCTTTACCATCCCCCCAGACCTACCCCTTACTGAGGACGAACGGTCAGTCCTCAGTAAAGGGCTCACCTTTGTCCCCCTCCACCCACAGATCAATGAATACCGCTCACGCTTGGACATAGAGCAGTTTTTCCGCCGCCTCCGCCTCCACGCTTACTTCTTCAACCGTGAGCCTAACCCTCCCTCTACTGACCCCTTCTCCCGCTTCCAACACACCCCCTCCTCCTGGACACCACCCCAAGGCCTCCTACCCTTCCTTGACCTCTTCATCTCCAACTGCTGTCGAGACATCAATCGCCTCAACCTCTCCACCCCTCTCACCCACTCCAACCTCTCCCCCGCAGAACGTGCAGCCCTCCGCTCCAATCCCAACCTCACCATAAAACCCGCGGACAAGGGAGGCGCAGTTGTAGTATGGCGCACTGACCTCTACATCGCCGAGGCAAGACGCCAACTCCCCGATACCTCCTCCTACCGCCCCCTTGATCATGACCCCACTCCTGAGCACCAAACCATCATCTCCCAAACCATCCACAACCTCATCACCTCAGGTGACCTCCCACCCACGGCCTCCAACCTCATCGTTCCTCAACCCCGCACAGCCCGCTTCTATCTCCTTCCCAAAATCCACAAAATCTGAATGCCCTGGTCGACCCATTGTCTCTGCCTGCTCCTGCCCCACCGAACTGATCTCCAACTATCTGGACTCCATTTTCTCCCCCTTGGTCCAGGAACTCCCTACCTATGTCCGTGACACCACCCACGCCCTCCACCTCCTCCAGAACTTCCAATTCCCTGGTCCCCAACACATCTTTACCATGGACGTCCAGTCCCTCTACACCTGCATTCCCCATACAGATGGCCTAAAGGCCCTCCGCTTCTTCATGTCCCGCAGGCCCGACCAGTCCCCCCCCACTGACACCCTCATCCGCTCAGCCGAACTCGTCCTCACCCTCAACAACTTCTCTTTCAATTCCTCCCACTTCCTACAGACAAAGGGGGTGGCCATGGGTACCCGCATGGGCCCAAACTACGCCTGCCTCTTTGTAGGTTACGTGGAACAATCCCTCTTCCATACCTACACTGGCCCTAAACCCCACCTCTTCCTCCGTTACATAGATGACTGTATCGGCGCCACCTCGTGCTCCCACGAGGAGCTCGAACAGTTCATCCACTTCACCAACACCTTCCACCCCAACCTTAAGTTTACCTGGACCATCTCTAATACCTCTCTCCCCTTCCTGGACCTCTCTGTCTCCACCTCAGGCAACCACCTAGAAACCGATATTCATTTCAAGCCCACCGGCTCCCACAGCTACCTAGAATACTCCTCCTCCCACCCACCTTCCTGCAAAAATGCCATCCCCTGTTCCCAATTCCTTTGCCTCCGCCGCATCTGGTCCGAGGATGAGGCATTCCACTCCCGCACATCTCAGTTGTCCTCATTTTTCAAGGACCGTAACTTCCCCCCCTCGGTGGTCGAGAACGCCCTCAACCGTGTCTCCCACATCTCCCGCAACTCATCCTTCACACCCCGTCCACGCAATAAGAACCAAAAAAGAATCCCCCTCGTCCTCACGTACCACCCCACCAACCTCCGGATCCAACGCATCATCGTCCAACACTTCTGCCATCTGCAATCCAACCCCACCACCAAAGACATCTTTCCCTCCCCACCCTTATCTGCTTTCCGGAGGGACCACTCTCTCCGTGACTCCCTTGTCCGCTCCACACTACCCTCCAGCCCCAGCACACCCGGCACTTTTCCCTGCAACCGCAGGAAGTGCTACACCTGCCCCCATACCTCCTCCCTCACCCCCATCCCAGGCCTCAAGAAGAATTTCCACATCAAACAGATGTTCACCTGCACATCTGCCAATGTGGTATACTGCATCCGCTGTACCCGGTGTGGCCTCCTCTACATCGGGGAAACTAAGTGGAGGCTGGGGGACCGCTTTGCAGAACACCTACGCTCGGTTCTCAATAAACAACTGCACCTCCCAGTCGCGAACCATTTCAACTCCCCCTCCCATTCCTCAGACAACATGTCCATCCTGGGCCTCCTGCAGTGCCACAACGATGCCACCCGAAGGTTGCAGGAACAGCAACTCATATTCCGCTTGGGAACCCTGCAGCCCAATGGTATCAATGTGGATTTCACAAGCTTCAAAATCTCCCCTCCCCCTACCGCATCCCAAAACCAGTCCAGCTCGTCCCTGCCTCCCTAACCTGTCCTTCCTCCCACCTATCCCCTCCTCCCACCTCAAGCCGCACCTCCATCTCCTACCGACCAACCTCATCCCGCCCCCTTGACCTGTCCGTCCTCCCTGGACTGACCTATCCCCTCCCTAACTCCCCACCTACACTCACCTTTACTGGCTCCATCCCCGCCTCTTCGACCTGTTTGTTTCCTCTCCACCTATCCTCTCCTCTATCCATCTTCTATCTGCCTCCCACTCTCTCCCTATTTATTTCAGAACACCCTTCCCCTCCCCCATTTCTGATGAAGGGTCTAGGCCCGAAACATCAGCCTTTCTGCACTTATGATGCTGCTTGGCCTGCTGTGTTCATCCAGCCCTGCACCTTGTTGTCTCGGATTCTCCAGCATCTGCAGTTCCTACTAGCTCTATACATGAGACAGTTTGGAAGTATCTTTATGTGACAAACAAAAAGAAACATTTAACCTTGTTAAACCCACAATATCCTTTACAGATGCAAGTGATGTTTCACTGGGAATGAGCATCTTAACTCTTTAACTTTTACTTAATAAACCCCCTTCCAGTTTTAACAGCTCAGAGGCTTCTTTCCAATCCTGAAGAATCTGGATTCATTTTCTGTTCTGATAGCCAGGAAACTTCTCTTAGTTTAGAGGTTCGACAAACTAAGCTCTCCAAAGTCTAAATATTTCTAAACAACTAAAACTTTGCTGGGATGAAACTGCTCTTCTGAACTGAAAATTTGATTTGCTGAACTAAACTCAAAATATTAGTGGGTCTGGTCATATTTTTTCTGTTTGCCATAAAATGCAGCATTGTAACCACACCATCAATTAATATCTTAGCGGTCCTGAATCATGTGATTTCCTGGAATTGCTGTCTTTAGTTCACGGTTCCAAATGAATTTCTGACCTCTTTACAAACAGGTTACCATCACTGAATAGAAACAACAAATCTATTTTACCTCTACTTTAAAGTCCAAATTCTCAAACAATAATATAAACCTTTTTCACACCCCTCCCAAAGTATTAAAAATATTTCCTATTAAAGTTTTTTATCACTGACAGTAATTACATAATATTGTGGTCAATTTTTTTAAAATGTCAGGTAATTCCCAAAGATACCATCTATAGGAATTTATTCCATTATAAGTGAAAACTCCTCCCACCACCCCCAATTTACTGAGTTCCTTTTAAACTAACCCTATATAATGCAATGGTTTGTAACCCGTGTATACTTACAATTAATATCCTTTGTTGACCCCTCTGGAAGACAGATTGTATCATCAGATAACATCAGTGACAAACTTATTCCAATATCTCTCAGTATCTTATTACTTTACACCTTAATTAGAAGAACTGCTACAGTTTTAATACCCATTTGGTTTCCTGGTGCAATTTTTCTTTTGTTGTCCTTCTATTTGTTTCCCAAAACTAATAACTTTACCATTCCCTTTTCTCTTCCTGTAATTTTCAGATTAATTCCCATATGGCCATTTCTCCACATGTAACCGTGTAAGAGATCATTGATATCCTCAGAACTGCTGCTTCACTGATATTTGTCACTCACCAAAATACTTTTATGTTTACTGAGATACATCTGAATTCTTCTGTAATCAGGCAAACAGATGATTCCGTCATGGTCTTTCTAACCTGTGGAAGGTTTTGTGATAGGTGTATCTGTACTCAGAGATCCTTTTGTTCCTATATGCCAGTGTGAACAAATCTCATCAAAAATTTACAAGGAATTCCAGTTATTCGCTTTAGTGGACTGGATCGCTTCAACAATACGTTTTGGTAGTTCACTCACAATCAAAACTGTGTTCCCCTGGATTCCCGAAGCCACACCCCAGTGCCTCCCTAAAGGCAGACAGCTAGCATCACCAAGCTGGGACCACCTCTGTATTTTGCTATTTAAAATCTTTAAGCGTGGGAACAGAAACAGCATGATCCCGTACATAGCCTACTCCTCTGTTCCTGGCCCTCTTGCTCAAAAATCAGATAAATTATTACTATTGCATATCATCATCTAAGTATGTCTGTTCCCTCCTCAAAAAATAATTGAAAACATGTTCAGTTTCCCGGTTGAAAATCCGCACTGACTATTCATCCTTTTATTTCTTGTTTTGAGATTTCACCTCATCTCTCCTTTAGCAAAGATTCCATTCTTTTTTCCTATCATCAGTATTAAATTAACTGGTCTATATGTTCTTTCCCCTCCTTTACTAAAGAGATATGCTATCTATTTCCCAGTCCTCAGTTACTACACCTTTATCAGATGAATTATTCAATATGTATAGTAATAACTGTGCTCTCTCTGCCCTATTCTTTTAAAATCCATGGATGGAATTCAGCCGGATTAGAGGTTTTATCCTCCACGTATGTTCAGTTTATTCAATACAACTTTTCTTAATTTTAAACACACATTGCTCATCTCACGGTCATGACTCCTTATTTTATCACCCTAGTAAATACCGAAGTGAAATGTAGAAATGGTGGAAATATCCCCATCATTTCCTGTGGGATTATCCAGTTTGCACTCCTTAAAGCTCCTATTCCCATCATTGCCTTCCTGTTTGTATAAATGTTGAAATTGATTTGATATACGTTTTAATATCATTTATTTTAAGATTTTTGAATTTTAAATTAGTGGCATGTGAATTTTCTGTAAATGCTAGAAGAACTCAATGTTCTGAAGAAGGGTCACTGGACCCGAAACATTAACACTGCTTTTTCTCCACAGATGCTGCCTGACCTGCTGAGCTTTTCCAGCAATTTCTGATTTTGCTTCTGATTTCCAGTGTCCGCAGCTCTTTGGCTCATTTGTTGGTTTTTCTGTGTGTCTGAAGGGGATTAATGATTAACTTGTACATATTTCTGAAGTCATGTGACTAACTTTTAATACAGTATTAGAAAGAATCTTCCTGGGGAGTAATGGGAATGTGTTTACACTGTTTACTTTGTTCACTTGTAAACTTTTGTACAAAAGTGTAGTGCATTAGACTTTCAGAAAGAAAATTGTGAAATTTTTGAAGGGACTTGGGTGAAATCCATAACTTGGAAAAGAAAAGGTTTTTAGTTTGTGTGAAATCTGAGATCTGCTTTGTCCGTCAGCTGGGATCATAATGTGCCTGTAAAATGTTTACAATTTTGTTTTATATGCTGCCTTAATTTGTTGCTTCCTCTTTGCCTTTCAAAGTGAGCTGAAGAAACATTTCATTCAAGGAAACACGTAAGGAAAAGGACAAAAGGGAGAATTACACAAAGGAGCAATTGAGAGATCAAAGAAAATGCAAAATTATTTAACAAGTGGCAATTGACCTTTATACTGAGAATGGAAAATTTCAATGTAGCCTTAATTTTAACATCAAGGTATTTCCACAGAGAAGAAATAGTGATTACAGCAGGCTGGCAATCAAGTAGGAGAGGAAACAAAAATGAGGAAGGGGGAGGAAAGGCTGAGGGATAGAGCTGGACACAGAGGAGAACATCTAACGAATTATCATTTAGTAATTCATTGCAAATATCATGACATTCTGGTGCTGACTGAAACTTTGAATTGTTGCTTCTGGTCCAATTGCCAGAGCTCCAGAGGGCAATCCCAATAGAGGACAGGGAATAGAATACAACATGGTAGGGGAGTGGAGGAGCAAGACAAGGAGAGGAAAGATGACTAGATGGAACATCTAATCAAGAGGAAGAAGGATGCTTACTTAAGGTTGAGGAAGCAAAGATCGGACAGGGCTCTAGAGGGTTACAAGGTAACCAGGAAGGAACTGAAGAACGAACTTAGTAAAGCTAGAAGGGGATACGAAAAAGCCTTGGCAGGTAGAAATAAGGAAAACCCTAGGGCATTCTATACTTATGTGAGGAACAAGAGGATGGCCAGAGTGAGGGAACTTGTGCGTGAAGTTGGAGGAGGTAGAATAGGTCCTTAATGAATACTTTGCTTCAGTATTCACTGGTGAGAGGGACCTTGTAGTTTGTGAGGACAGCATGAAACAGGCTGATATGGTCAAATAGGTTAATGTTAGGAAGGAGGATGTGCTAGAAATTTTGAAAAATATGAAGATAGATAAGTCCCCTGAGCCAGACGGGATATACCCAATGTTGTTACGGGAAGTGAGGGAAGATGTTGCTGCGACTTTGGCGATGATCTTTGTCCACTAGAGTAGTATCAGATGATTGGAGGGTGGCAAATGTTATTCCCTTGTTCAAGAAAGGGAATAAGAATAATCCTGGGAATTACAGACCAGTCAGTCTTACTTCTGTGGTGGGCAAAGTATTGGAAAGGATTCTGAGAGATAGTATTTATGATTATTTGGAAAAGCACAGTTTGATTAGAAATAGTCAGCATGGCTTTGTAAGGGACAGGTCATGCCTCACAAGCCTTATTGAATTCTTTGAGGATGTGACAAAACACACTGATGAAGGTAGAGCAGTGGATGTGGTGTAAATGGATTTTAGCAAGGCATTTGATAAGGTTCCCATAGTAGGGTCATTCAGAAAGTAAGGAGGCATGGAATCCAGGGAAATTTAGCTGTCTGGATACAGAATTGGCTCTCCAATAGAAGACAGAGGGTGGTAGTAGATGGAAAGTATTCAGCCTGGAGCACAGTGAACAGTGGTGTCCTTCAGGGATCTGTTCTGGGACCTCTGCTCTTTGTGATCTTTACAAATGACTTGGATGAGGAAGTGGAAGGGTGGGTTAGTAAGTTTGCCAACAACACAAAGGTTGGTGGAATTGTGGAGAGTGTGGAGGGCTGTTGTAGGTTGTAACATTGACAGGATGCAGAGCTGGGCAAAGAAGTGGTAGATGGAATTCAACCCGGAAAAGTGTGAAGTGATTCAGTTTGGAAGGTCGAATTTGAATGCAGAATACAGGGTTAATGGCAGGATTCTTGGCAGAGAAACAGAGGGATCTTGGGGTTCATGTCCATAGATCCCTCAAAGTTGCCACCCAAGTTGATGGCGTTGTTAAGAAGGTGTATGGTATGTTGGCTTTCATTGGCAGGGGAATTGAGTTTAAGAGACACGAGGTTATGCTGCAGCTCTATAAAACCCTGGTAAGACCACACTTGGACAATTGTGTTCGGTTCCATCGCCTCGTTATAGGAAGGATGTGGAAGCTTTTAGAGAGGGTGCAGAGGAGATTTACCAGGATGCTGCCTGGACTGGAGGGCAGTCTTATGAGGAAAGATTGAGGGAGCTAGGGCTTTTTTCATTGGAGCGAAGAAGGATGAGAGGTGACTTGATAGAGGTGTACAAGATGATGAGAGGATAGATAGAGTGGATAGTCAGAGACTTTTTCGCACGATGGAAATGACTAATATGAGGGGGCATCATTTTAAGGTGATTGTAGGAAGGTATAGGGGGATGCCAGAGGTAGGTTCTTTACACAGAGAATGGTGGGTGCGTGGAATGAGCTGCCGGCGGCGAAAGTGGATCAGATACATTAGGGACATTTAAACGACTCTTGGATAGGCACATGGATGATATTAAAATATAGCGCATGCAGGGTAGTTTGATCTTACAGTAGGATAATAGGTCGGCACAACATTGTGGGCTGAAGGGCCTATACTGTGCTGTACTGTTCTATGTTCTATGATGACCAGAACGAAGTGAGTGCGAATAAGATGTGGGATTCTGAGAGATAAGAATAGAGGGGAGAGGACGAAGGAAAGGAAATTAGGAGGAAAGGAGGCGCAGTGATTTTCTTTCATAAGTACCATCACTGTTGTGAATGAGACTTGGCTGATGTTCAGGGGAGAAAAAAAATTAAACTTTATTGCACAAAACATAACTGAAATTGTAACAGTATCATTGAATGATTTCTTATCGCAAGTTATAATTATAATAGTACGGTAGAGCTCACTGAAATAGAACCAAAGTAAGAGGAGATCAGTCAGCTTCTCCATTTAATCACATCACAGATAATTTGTATCTCATTTCCATTTATTAGAATCTTGAAAGATCCACCTGTTACCCAGCACCCTCTGTTTTACAGAGACTCCCAGCTTTCCGCACAGTGTACGTGAAACAATTCAAGCTGCTGATGGTCCAGCTTGAATCTGCAGCCCTAACTAATGCCAGTTTATGACAGGAGCAATTCCGGGCTGCTATCCTCCCACTCATTAACCTCTCCTTTGCAAAGGGATAAATGTGGATTGACAAAGTTTGTGATGGAGAAGGTTACATTTATGGAAGAGGATGAAATGACTGGCAGTTTGTCTGTCTGAAAGGTCAATATTTCAACATTAAAGAGATTTCATTACACTGTTTTGCATTTTTCAGATCTCACATTCAGAGGAATCTCTGAGAAATTCCTAAACCATCTTTTTGTTCTCTCCAAAGATAGACATCTATGAGTGAATGCTGACAATTATGTTTTAAAATGTCCATTTAACTTTCGGTGAGATAGATCTATAAAGGTAGGTGGTGAATTGTGCGCTCAGTTCACTCTAGCAAGGTTGTGATATAGCACTGGAGAGTGTGCGGAGGAGATTCAATAGGATGGTGGCAGAGTTGGGACATCTTAGCTACAAAGAGAAAATGAATAAGATTGTTTTTTTTTAGAGCAGTTGTTCCCACCAAGTTGAAGGGTCAATAACAAAGGGCATAATTTTAAGGTGAAAAGAGGGAATTTGAGGAAACTTTCTTTTTACCCAGATGGTGGTGGGAATCTGGAATGCACTGCCTGGGACAGTAGTTCAAGCAGCTAATCCTCACAACCTTCAAAAAGTGCTTGGATGTGTAATTGAAATGATTATGGACAAGCTGGAAAGTGAGTTTTTGTTGGTGCAGACTTGTTGGGCCAAAGGGCCCTCTTCTCCATTATACAGTTCTGTGTTCCCAGTTAGTACCTTAGGTCAGAGGAGTGCCATGTGATTTCAGGTTGTCATGGGGATAGAATTAACAAAGAGAAACTCAAATGGAAAACCACTGAAGTTGGAGTTGTAATTTCTCATACCTCACTCAAACTCAGAACAGAAAAAGTGTTGCAGCTGAGATCTAGCAGGCAAGAATAGGCGCTTTCCCAGAAACAGGGTTTTGTTTTTGTGTAAATGACAGGGAAAAGAAATAAACCTCAACAAGAAAAGAAAGAATTTATCCAGAGTTAACTGAACTGTTGAAAGAATTCTGGATCATCAGGACTAGTGCGAACTAAAGGAGGAGATTTGTTGAGGTGAAATTTGGTGGGAGGGGTATTGTTGCTGACAGACATGGGAAGAGTGATTGAACTCAGTCTGGGAACTGGGAAAAGCTGGCTGAATGACTACCCTTTGATCCTAACTGTGCCCAAAGTATGACATAAGGAAATGTACCTTTTCTTGTAAGTGATATAGCATGTGCACATCAGGTAGTATTTAAATCATACTTTGTTGTGTTACAATAAAAAATCAAAGTGAAATATTGCCCTACAGTTGAGTCATTAAGAAAATTCAAAAGTTGCCACTCTCTTACAAGGATTGCAAGCCTTACACCGGTAAGGTCGGCACTGACTGCTCACCAACAAACAAATGGTAGGCCCCTGTCTTTTTGCCTTGAGTGACTTGCTAAGTTACTGCAGAGTAGCCAACCACATTGCTTGGGTCTGGAGTCAATTATGAGCAAGGCTGGGTCAGGACAGCAGATTTTCCTTCCTTAAAACAGACATTAGTAAACAATTTGGCTTTTTAAGACTCAGTAATTTTGTCATCACTTTCACTGATCTCCGTTTATGCTGCCCATGTCTCTCACGTCCATGACGGATTTTCCAACCCCCATACATTTGGATTACTCATCCACTAACAGAACCACAACATTACATAATGGAACTACCATTGTAACCAATAATATGGAAAAATTGAAGAGTGCAAATAAATGAAGTGGAGATCTTCATCAAAGCAAGTACCCAAGAACCACCCATGTTCTTCGATAACTCCCATAGCCCTATAACAAAGCACCTGTTAAATGACCATAAATGAGCTTTGCCTGTACTGTCCTAACCCACCTTGAATGAATGAATTGTGTAGAAAGGAAACAAATTGAACAGGAAATATTAGCACAGAGTTCTACTCAGAGGATATAATTTCTTCAAGACTGAGTTTGATGAATCAAACTGTAAAAGAATCCAGCCTCATGACAAAAAGCAGGTACCTATAGGCCAGTTAGCTTAACTTCGGTAGTGGGGAAAATGCTTGAATCTATCATTAAGTTAGAAATAGCAAGACATCCGGATATAAATTGTCCCATTGGGAACACCCAGCATGGGTTCATGAAGGGTAGGTCATGTTTAACTAATTTGGTGGAATTCTGGAGGACATTACTTGCATGGTGGACAATGGGGAACCTGTGGATGTGGTGTATCTGGATTTCCAGAAGGCATTTGACAAGGTGCCACACCAAAGGCTGCTAGATAAGATAAAGTTGCAAGATATTACAGGTAATGTATTGGCATGGATAGAGGATTGGTTGACCAGTAGAAAGCAAAGAGTAGGGGTAAATGGGTGTTTTTCTGGTTGGCGGTCAGTGGCTAGTGGTGTGCCTCAGGGATCAGTGTTGGGACCGCAATTGTTTACAACTTACATAGATGATTTGGAGCTGGGGACTAAGTGTGGTGTGTCAAAATTTGCAGATGACACTAAGGTGAGTGGTACAGCAAAGTGTGCAGAAGACACAAAGTCTGCAGAGGAATATAGATAGTCTAAGTGAGTGGGCAAAGGTCTGGCAGATGGAGTACACAATGTTGATAAGTGTGAGGTCATCCATTTTGGTAGGAATAACAGCAAAATGGACTATGTTTTAAATGGTAAAAAATTGCAGCACGCTGCTGTGCAGAGGGATTGCAGGTGCAGCAGGTAACTAAAAAGGCAAATGGAATTTTGTCTGCCATTGCTAGAGGGATGGAGTTTAAAAACAGGGAGGCTATGCTGCAGCTGTATAGGGTCTTGGTGAGGCCACACTGGAGTACTGTGTGCAGTTTTGGTCACCTTACTTGAGAAGAGATATACTAGCACTGGAGGGGGTGCAGAGGAGATTCACTCGGTTGATTCCAGAGTTGAGAGGGTTGGATTATGAGGAGAGACTGAGTAGACTGGGATTATACTCATTGGTATTCAGAAGAATGAGGGGAGATCTTATAGAAACATATAAGACTATGAAGGGAATAGATAAGATGGAGGCAGGGAGGTTGCTTCCGCTAGCAGGTGAAACTAGGACTAGAGGGCATCGCCTCAAAATAAAGGGAAGCAGATGTAGGACTGAGGTCAGGAGGAACTTCTTCACCGAAAGGGTTGTGAATCTATGGAATTCCCTGCCCAGTGAAGCGGTTGAAGCTACCTCGCTGAATGTTTTTAAGGCAAGGCTAGATAAATTTTTGAACAGTAAAGGAATTAAGGGTTATGGTGAGTGGGCGGTAAGTGGAGCCGAGTCTCAAAAAGATCTTATTAAATGGCGGGGCAGGCTCGAGGGGCCAGATGGCCTCCTCCTGCTCCTAGTTCTTATGTTCTTATGATCTTCCGCAGCATTTGCCCAGTCCCTCAGTCAGATGTTGAGTGATGTCAGTGGACAAGCACCAGAATAAGTTTGCCACAGCTTCAAATTTGTCACATTTTCAAAGGAAAAAGCAAGCAAAAGATTTCCTGCCAAGTTTAATTGACTCCGAGACAAGGCAGAAATTAAACTGCCTTTAATAAAGTTAGAGGGTTTCACAATCCCACACAGGCAGAGGATAAATAGATGGTGCAAAAGGCATTGTTGCCACTGATAAAACCAGCACGGACTTCAAATTGCACAGAATGAAACACACCAATCGGCCATTGCATGACACCCCTGCCAGCCCGACTTACAGACCATCTCGCAGTTCCGTTGATTCACCCACCCAACAATTGACACCTCCTATCCAAAGATCCCCCTGATGGGAAAACAACGTCCAATTGTTCCAATAGATCCCATGGCATTATTTCAAGGAAAATCAGGGCTCCATCGCTAGAAGGAAACTATCTGGTCATTTCTGTAAATGCTGTCTGTGGGATCTTGCGGTGCACAAATTAGTTGGACTATTTCTTATGTTTAATGTGACTACATTGTGAAAACAAGTATTTCATTGGCTGCAATGAGTTGAGATATTTTGGAGCTGTGAAGATACTTTATAAATCCAAGTATTTCTTATCCATACAACTTTTAAGAAGTGACTCAGTGGAAACTTGCCTGTTGCTCTGCGCATCTGACAGTATCAGAGATATCAGGTCATCTAGTGCCCCAGTCATAATAACTGACTGTGGACATGGTGTCTCTATTGGAATGCTTACAAAGGCCGGTGTGTAAAATACAACACCCCACACACACTGCAAGTAATTTCTTAAAAATCACACTCAGTTCATTACAAAACTTTAAACAGAATTATCAAGTTTTCCCGTCCATGACTTAAGCTTTTTTTCCCCAAATCAATGCTTAATTTTGAAGTAAAAACACTCTTTTTCTACCTCCTTGATCATAAAAGCGAGTTAAAACTCCTGCTCATCACACCAAACAAAGCTCACTTAAAGCAAGCAGCCTCCAGTCCCCTCCCCTTGGGCTTTGGATGGCTCCAGCTCTTGCTTGTTTTGTTCAGACAGAGGGCATTTTCTCACTCTCTTCACAATGGGAGGCGAGTTTCTGGTAGCCCAGAGTTTCATCTTTGTCTTGACACTGGAGTTTCACACAGAAGACAATGAGCACCAGCAGAAGGCAACAGCCCACAACCAGGCCCAGAAGCAGCTCTGTAGAGACAGAAAAAGAGATATCAACTGTTTGAAATGTGTGTATAAGTGTCAACAACAGTGCATCATGTACACCACTGATATAAACACTGGGAGACCACAGTATTTGTACAATTAACTAAACTACCTGCCAACCCTTCCACAATTAGTTAGCAGCCTTGCCTCCATGTGGTTAACAGTCACTTTAGGATATCACAGTCAGCATTTGGGAAAGAGGGGAACAGACTGGGCAGCATTGTAATTAAGGGAGAAGGGGTAAATGGTCTCAATGTTTATGATTGCCACAGCTTCTGAAATTTTTTTGGAAACTATGCAGCCTTCTGTCATGCAAGATGATGATTTGTTCAGTGATGGTCACTGCCTCCAATGTCTTCTCTTTTTTCTTTGTTCATTAACAGGATGAGGGCAGTTAAGAGTCAACTACATTGTGGGTCTGGAGTCACATGTAGCCCAGACCAGGTAAGGATGGCAGTTTCCTTCCCTAAAGGACATTAGCGAACCAGATGGGTTTTTTTTTCTGACAATCGACAATGGATTCATGGTCATCATTAGATTCCCAATTCCAGATTTTTATAAAAAATTGAATCCAAATTCCACCATCTGCTATGGCGGAATTCAAACCCACGTCCTCAAAACGTTATCTGGGTCTCTGGATTAACAGTCCAGTGATAATACCACTAGGCCATCACCTCCCCCTTGATGTTGATGATCAAACCAAACTCTTTCTGGGGACAGAGAATCTAACACTAACAGGAGCAAGTGAACAGTGTTGTCATTAGTGCAGAGCAGCTAAATACAAGAAATGCAGGATTTTTGCAAAGCTCCACTACAACACACACACACCAAGTTTAATCAACTCTGTAAACAACAGCAACAACTGCATTAAATAAAACAAAGAACTGCAGATACCAGAAATCTGAAACAAAAACAAATTGCTGGAGAAACTTAGCACGTCTGGCAGCATCTGTGGGGAGAAAGCAAAATTAACATTGAGTCCAGTTCTGAAGAAGGGTCCCTGGACTTAAAAACATTAACTCTGTTTTGTCTAGACAGATGTTGCCAGACCTGCTGAATTTCTCCAGCAATGTATGCTTTTATTCCAACAACCTCTTCCATGATACACCAAATTGTATTGCAGTTAAAACCCAAACCCCTGCACCACAGGATTAGAGCAATCAACAATTCTGGCAGTAACCGAGTAAACCTGGAGCTCAAACAGCCCCAATCTATGCCCAGAATCCCCTGGATCCCATTTGACACTTGGAAAAGCTCATGACCTATTCCTGGGATCCTGAAATCCCACTTGGTATACAGGAACTACTCAGTCTGTGCCTGGATATCGTCTTGAATACACAGGAAAAGCGCAGGGGTGGGGATGAACTGGGTCATCTCTTCAACATCCCAAGTATGAGGAGCTGAACAGCCTTCTGCTGGTGCAAGTTTCAATGATTCAATAATGAGCAGAAATAAGAGTTAACTATCTCATCTCAAACCTCAGGAATACACTAATATTATTAAACGTGACTAGAGTTTGATTCCAGTGTGAATACATTGTCACTTCATGACTGGGAAGTGGCTGAGGTTGTTGACAGTTTTAATGGTCAACGAGGAAGCAGTCAGAAAACCCGATGTACATTGGCAGTCAGGTGGGATAGTTTACTGAGAGGAACAAAAAGAAATCTCTTTTGTGAACTGCAGTTTGGTGTAATCATGGAGCAATTGCCTCTGACCTTGCTTCACTCGACTGTTCAACATCTATCCACTGAAATAGGAGGGTAGCACACTAGCAAGAGTATATAAAATAATGACTGACACCTCCCTTTCCCCCCCCAAAATGACAGCATTTTACAGTTAGACATTGGGTGCATTCCTGAATGAGGAATCCAGAGAACACTGACAGGACATAGCAATGTGACTGAAAACCCTAGGGTTATGTGGAGAGACCAGCAGAATATGGAGGATTACCACGGATCAATGCTATCTGTCAGCGAGCTGATCGAGTTGCTGACAATACGTTACCAATTTGGATGGTGCTGCGGTGAAGTTCACATTCCTTTGCCCAGTTCTTTGGGATCATCTCTGCAGCAATTTCAATGAATTTGTGTAAGGGGCACTTTTCAGTGCAAGATGGCAGAGTGAGAAGGTATGGCTTAGAATTACTCTCATTTCTGTAGTACATCTCCATTGTGTAGGATCTGCAAAAGCCACATGCAAGCTTTAGAACAGTTAACTTTCCTCCCATTGCTCAAATAAGCCCTCTTCTTAGAGGGAAGAATTTTATATAATCTCATTCTCCTGCTCGCTCCCTTACACTGATCCAATTTCCCCAACCCACTTTTCTCTTTCTGGCCTACTTTTTCTCTCTGCCCACCTCACCCAAAAGATCCCATTTCTCTCTCTCTCTCTTTTGCTACATCCCCCACCATTCCCAGATTGGTGCCATTTCCCTCTTCTCACTCTCTCATCATACAATTTCAATTTCTTCCTTTTTTTTCCCCCTAGAATGGATCCTATTTCTGCACTGGCTCTTTGGCTCCATTCAGGTTTCATTTTCCGGCTCCCTCTTTCTCCAGGCAAGTTTGAGCATTAGCATCCTCTGGGATAGAGAACTCCAAACACTCCCAACCTGTTCAATTTTTCCTCATCAGGCCTAACCCATTGGCCGTTTATTGGGAGACTGTACCCAGACAGGGGGAAAATAGGCTCTCACTTTTGGCCCTATTAAGTCCCTTCAGAATCCTGTAGGTTTCAATGAGATCTCTTCTCATTCTGCTAAACTGCAAACAGTGTAGACCCAACTTACTGAACCTCTCATTGTCCCGGTGACCAGTCTAGTGAACCTTCACTGTGTCGTCACTTCCCATTGCCTTTAATACAGAGACCAAAACGGCAGACAGTTTTCCGGCAGTGAAATCAGCAAAATCCTGAATGATTGCAACAAGACTTTCTTTATTCCTGCACTCCAATCTGCTTGCAATAAAAGTCAATCTGTAATTTGATTTCCTAATTGCTTACTGCATCTGCATGCTAAATTTAGTATAAATACAACTATGTGAATATCGATTTAAAAGATTAATGCCTTTTTAAAAAATTCTGTTTTTCTATTCTCATGAATGAAGTGCATAACTTCACACTTCCCCACATCACATTCCATTTGCCATCTTGCTGTCCATTCACTCAACTTCTCTACATCTCTTTACAGCCAGAGTCCTCTTAGCACCTAGCTCTATATCAGCAACAACTGATATGTTATTCTCTGTCTCTTTATCTAACTCATTCATCAAGATTGTAAAAAGCTGAAGTACCAACACTGATGCTTGCAGTACTCCACTAGTTATAACCTGCCAAACTATGAATATTTTCTTTGTTCCTGCTCTCTGTCTGTTAACCAGTCCCAATTTTTGTTTAGTCCAATCAGACCACTAGGAGCATCTGGTTTTGCAGTAGCTACAATAAAAAAGAAATTTATAAATCAAAGAGCTGGTGGGTATCCTGATTGTCTGGATTAGCAACATGTTGGGATCCAGATATGCAGGCTGCGTGTTACTGAGACCCTCCATTACTATCACTAGAGAATAAAACAAAGACAAAGACATTCAGAGCCTTGAATAGTGGCTGTGCAGAGCCAACATATTGAAAACAATTTCAGAACCTACCCATTTGTCTCTTGGTAAAGCTCAAATATGTGGCAGGCAGCATACGTTGGAGCAAGGCTGTAAATACCCAGAGCCATTTGAAGGGCTATGATAGTGGTGTCATGCTGTGAACAGAGATCAAATTCAGAATGCAGCTAATTATTAAAGGCAAATGGACTGCAGGTGCAAGCAAACCGCGGTGCGCTCAACACTGAGCCACAGCCCCCATGGGGTGTTCAACACTGACGCCGCATGGAGGTGGGGGTTAACACTGAGCCTCCATGAGGGGTTCGGAATCATCACTCACAACCGGGGGCAGTCCATGTTGGCCTTCCACAGATTATCACTGACCAAAATGTTGATGACATAGCATAAAACATGGCTTTTTAATCATAATATCATCATGAGGTATTTAATCCTATCAATCATTTATACTGAACATTTTGATCCTCTTCAATCTCAGGTGACTCACCGCCGAGTACATGATCATTTTGAGATGGGGAGTGGAATTGGTCTCATTTACTGAACGAGTAACATTTTCGAGGATTTGTTTGAGGAGCACACCTGTAAAAATGAACACATTTTTTAAAAAGAGTAAAGGAATACAGATAAACAACTGGAGCTCAGCAATACATTAACTCTAAAGGCTACTGAACACCCAGTTATTGAGATAGGGCAGTTGCATCACACCACTCAGACAATTACTGACATCAGACCCTCCACAGACTCGTGAGTTTGGGGGCAGTTACTGTAAAACAAGGGACAGATCAGTGTGGGGAGAGTTACTGTGAAACCTGACCTTCCAAAGACTGGTCAGCTTGTGTACAGTGATTGTGAAATCAGAAACCAGTCAGTGTGTAAACAATGTGGGCAAATCTATTCCCATTAATCGATTAGAAATCTTTAAACTTCTGACTGCGCAATATAATCCTAGTTTGTGTAATCTCATTTATGTTAAAACACTAGAGCACAGAACAGTGGGCAAGCAGCGGTCCTTGAGGAAGGCAGTCAGCTTCACTGAGAGGAGCAGGCATTCACTCACCCCCTTGCAGCCGTGACTTCTCCTTTGCCTGGTAGAGTCCAAACTCAGATCTGCTGCCAAATTCCTTCAGTTGTCTCATGTGTTCCATCTGCTCTGGTGTGGCCCAGGATGGGAGAGTGAAGTTGTGAACTTGCTGCCCAAGGAAGATGGGAGAACAACAATTTATTAGGACCAAAAGAACTGCGGATGCTGTAAATCAGGAACAAAAACAAAGTTGCTGGAATAGCTCAGCAGGTCTGGCAGCATCTGTGAAGGAGAAAACAGAGTTAACGTTTCAAGTCCGGTGACCCTTCCTCAGAACTCAATTTATTAGGACTGTCCAGCTGCCCACATAGACACAGAGCTTATCCCAGTTTCTACAGTTGGCCTCAAGACCCTGAAAGGATACCTAATATGCCCTTTGAAAATCACAGCTGGTCAGTGAGCCGCAAGGGTAGGTGAGTAACTACAGGATTTGAATTTAGTTATAACCATGACCTATATTAAACTTTCTCAGACACACCACCAAAAGAAAACGGATCACACGTCTGATTTCAAAAAACACTGTTAGAACCATCACAGATCTGTCATTTTTAAATTGCTATTCTTTTATCAATTTTGATTTGGGAACTGAGAGCTGGAAATGACTTGTGGATTTTGGGACAGCTTGTGGTAATAGGAAAAGAACTGACCAAACTCTGTTTGAGGCAAGACCTGGAGGTTAGTTGCAGTCGATTCTTGATTAAAAGGATTCCTACAGACACAACGACAATGGGAAGAGCATTGTGTTTTAATAGATAACAGAAGTTGGCTATTAACAAGGGCAGTACCTGGGACTTGGTTCCAGCACTCTAGAAGAGACGCTATATTCAAACATGTGGCAGATGTTGAATGGTAATTGAGGTCTCAGGAAGAATCAATCAGTGAATTAGGGCGGAACTAGAACTTTAAATTGTTTCTTTGAACGATGTTTTCTGAAAAGATTAGCTTGGCTGCTAACAGGACTGCAAGAAGAGTTGAAAGCTCCCTGCCTAACTTGGCACACCAATTTCCGAAGTCAAAGGAGTATAAGGCTGAGTTAGAAATGTTACTACCTTTGCTTGAATGAACTGAGGTGACCTTGATCAACATTTCAGAAAAGGCAACCAAACAGTCCACGCTTATGTTTGTGAAATAACACATCATGAAAGCCATTTAAGTAATCTGGCCAGTTTTTGTTATTTTCTTTTATTTATCCCTTAACTGTTTGTTTGTCTGTCTGTCTATTGTGTGACTGGGAACTGAAAACAAATGTTTCAGATTTAAAGCATAGATATTAAACAGCTTATCTTGCTGTTTATTTTTTCTTTGCTAAAGTTATTGTGTATTTAAGTCTTTTGTTTGAGATACAAAATCAGTGTCTGGAATTAATTATTCACGATGTCTTGTATTGGTTATTCAGAAGTCTGGATAGGAACCATTGGAGTCTTTGACAGTTTTATTTCACTGTGTTGCAAATAAAAGTACCAAGACTGATTTGGTCTGGCTGTCTGTCTGTGTTGTAACAACAACCTACTTACTTAACTCCCCTCCCACTAAATGGTGTTTACTTGCTGAAGATTTTTTTTTAAAAACCATTCATGGAATGAGGACACCACTGAAAAAGCATTTATTGCCCATTACTAATGCCAAGAGGGTAATTAAGAAAGAGTCGACTATATTGATGTGGGTATGGAGAGGATGACAAGTTTCCTTCCCTAGAGGAAATTAGAAAACACAATCGTTTGTTTTTGATTATCAATGATGGCTTAATGGTCACCATTAGACTCTTCATTCTACATTTTTTAAAAAAATTGAATTCAAATTCCACCACTTACCAAAGCAAGGATTTGAACCTGGGTTCCAGAACAAGGGAGCAAACAAGAGGTCCCTGAAAAGGACTTATACAGTAAATGATAAGGTCCTGAGAAGTGTTGTGGAACAGAGGGACATAGGAGTACAAGTTCGTAGTTTGTTGAAAGTGGCGTCACAGGTAGACAGGGTGGTGAAGAAGGCATGTAGCGTGCTGGCCTTCATCAGTCGAAGCATTGAGTATAGGAGTTTGGACGTTATGTTACAGTTGTATAAGGCGTTGATGAGGCCGCACTTGGAATATTGTGTATAGTTTTGGTCACCCTGTTATAGGAAAGACAGTTAAACTGGAAAGTGTGCAAAGAAGATTTACGAGGATGTTGCCAGGACTAGTAGGCCTGAATTATAGGGAAGAGATTGGTCAGGACAGGACTTCATTCATTGGAACATAGGAGAAGGAGGAGTGACCTTATTGAGATGTATAAAATCATGAGGGGTATAGACAGGATGAATGCATATAGTCTTTTTCCCAGGGATGGGGAGCTGAAAACTAGAGGGCATAGGTTTAAGGTAAGAGGTGATAGATTTAAGAAGGACTTGAGGGGCAACTTCTTCACGCAGAGAGTGGTGCATATATGCAATAGGCTGCCAAAGAAAGTGATTGAGGCAGGTACAATAACAACATTTTAAAAACATTCGGATAGGTACGTGGATGAGAACGGTTTAGAGGGATATGGATCAAATGCAGGCAATTGGAACTACCCGAGTGGGCACCAAGGTCAGCATGGACCAGTTTGGGCCGAAGGGCCTGTTTCCATGCTGTATTACTCTATGACTTTATGACTGTAAGAGTCTGTCTTTACTCAGGAAAAGTAGGATGCAAGTACAGAATTCAAGAAGATGGACTGTGAAGTTCTTCAGCAGTTTAATATAAGAGGTGAGAAGGTATTGGGGGTTTTGGCGGATTTAAAAGTGGACAAATACCCAGGTCCAGATGAATTGTATCCCAGGCTTTTGTGGGAGACAAGGGAAGAAATTACAGGATACCTGACCCAATTTTCAAATTGTTTTTGGCCACAGGGGAAATGCCAGAGGACTGGAGGACAACTAATGTGGTTTGGAGACAATGTGGTTCCACTTTACAAGATGGGTAGTAAAGATAGACCAGGGAACTACAGACCAGAGAGTCTTACATCTGTGGCATGGAAACTATTGGAGAAAATAATGAAGGAAAAAAATTCAATTCCATTTAGAGAAGCAAGATTTGATCAAAGATAGTTAGGTTTTGTCATAGGGAGGGCATGCCTAACAAATCCGATGGAATTTTACAAGGATATTACCAAGTGTTTGGATGAGGGTAGGATATTTGATGTAACTTAGGTAGGTTACAGAAGGCCTTTGACAAGGTCCCATGTGGGAATCTGATTTAAAAAAAGGTAAAAGCTCATGAGATCCAGGGTATCTTGGCAAGTTGGATCCAAAATCCATGACAAGAGACAGAGGATGGTGGTAGAAGGCTGTTTGTGAGACTGGAGCCCACCGTTCAGTGGCATACCACAGGGATCAGTGCTGGGTCCTTTATTGTTTGTGATATTCATATAATGATGGGAGGAATGGTAAGTAAGTTTGTGGATAACACAAAGATTGCCCAGTAGTTTACAGTGAGGAGGATGGTGTTAGGATACAGGAGGGTATAAATGGTTTGGTCAGATGGGCAGGTCAGTGACCAATGGAATTAAAACTGGTAAATTTGAGTTATGCATTTTGAAAGAAGGATCAAGACAAGGGAACACTCAATGAATGGCAAAATACTAGGAAGCTCAGAGGATCTAGGTGCACTCATTCACAGATCCCTCAAGGTAACTAGACAAGTTAACAGGGTAGTTAGTAAGGCACACAGGACACTTATAATCGTATGCCTTGAATGATGAAGGTAAGAGCAGGGAGGTCATATTGGATATGTACAGAACTTTGGTTATGCCAGAGCTTGAGTACTATGTGCAGTTCTGCTCACTACAGTATAGGAAGGATGTGATTGCACTGGAGGGGGTGTAGAGGAGATTCGCCAGGATGTTGGCTGGGACAGAGGATTTCAGCTTTGAAGAGAGGCTGGATAAGGCTCAGGTTGTTTTCTTTGGTGCAGAGAAGGTTGGGAGTGACCTAATAGAGGTGTATAAGATTATGAGGGGCATTGACAGGTGAATAGAAAGTGGCTGTAACCCCTTAGTTGAAGGCACAATAACAAGCAACATAATTTAAAAGCGCAAGGCAGGAGATTTAGAGGTAATTTGAGGAAATAAAAATCTTTCACTGAGAAGGTGATGGGGATCTAGAATGCACTGCCTCAAAGGATAGCGGAGGCAAGAAACCTAATAACATTTGAAGTGTCATAACATTCAAGGCTATGGGTCTAGTGTAGGTAATTGTGTATTTTTGGTGGTACAGATTGCTGGGTAAAAGGATCTCTTCTGTACTGTACTATTCTATGTGCATTACCTGGGTCTCTAGATTAATCAACTTGCAATAACACCACTTGGCCATAGCCTCCCCATTTTCTGAAGAGGTAACAGAGAGGGTAAGTTAGGGTAAAGCTGTTAATGTGGTATACAGGGATTTCTGGAAGGTATTTGATAGAGTGTCAAACAACACTTACGAGCAAAGTTATAGGTCATGGTATAAACGGGATAGTAGCAACATGGATACAAAATTGGCTGAATGACAAGAAGAGACAGGAATGGTCAATGGATATTTTCCAGGCCAGAGGAAAGTTTGTAGTGGAGTTCCCCCAGGTGTCAGTGTTGGGACCCTTACCTTTCCTGATACATATCAATGATCTGGATCTTGATGTGCAGTGGAAAATTTCAAAATTATCAGATGACATGAAATTTGGAAGAATAGTAAACTGTGACAAGGACAGTGTGGAACTCCAAAAGGACATTGACAAGTTGGTGGAGAGAGCAGATAGGTGGCTGAAGAAGTTCCATGTGGAGAAGGTGATGCACTTTTGTAGGAAGAACACTGAAGGAGTATACAAAATAACGGGCACAATTGTAAAGGGGGTGTCGGACCAGAAGGCACTGGGTGCTTACGTCCACAGATTGTTGAAGGTGGCAGGATAAGTGGAGAGTGCAGTTAATAAAGTATTCAGTGTATTTACTTTATTAACAGAGGCATTGAGTACAAGAGCAAGGAGATAATGTTTAACTTGTCAGTCTTCAGCTGGAAAATTGTATACAGTGTGGGTGCTACATTATTGGAAAGATGTGAATCTTTGCATTGGAGGGTGCAGAAGTAGTTTACAAGAATGGCTCCAGCAATGAGAAA